GATATATTTTTTATATACTCAAGTGGTCTGAGTCGTCCCTCTGAGTTCCTGGTTTGAAAGAACCGGATGAGGCTTTATAATGGTTTTTAGCCTTTAGTAACCAAGGCTCAGTAATTCTGGTCAATCATCAGTACAGTTTTACCATGTGTAAGCAAGGAAGGTAAACATATGAAAAGTAACTGAAAGACAATGAAGAACTGAAAAGTAACTAAAGATTATAAAGTAACTTGAGCGCATAAGAAAAGTCTAGGTAATGTGTGTGTGTGTGTGTGTGTGTGTGTGTGTGTGTATGTGTATCCTAGGTGGCGAGCCTTCCTGGGTGTGTAGACACCTCCTGGGGAGGCAGAACTTGGGATATGCTATGTGGGTCTATGTGTGGGTGTGAAACAGGCCTTTGCTAAAATGTAAATAGGCTGTCTGGTCACAAAGATATGTAGACATCCTGTCTCTACCCAGATGTTACAGCATTCAAAGTAAGCAGATTCTACTTCATTACAGTTGTAAGATATAAGCAAGGGAAATAAATGTATTCAAATAACCAAAGCTCAGTAGTTCTGCACAATAACCAATACAGCTGTAATATGTATAATCAAGTAAGATAAAGTTATGAAAGGTAACTAAAGGGAACTAAAGGCATGAGAAGTAACTAAAGCTGATAAAGTAACTAGAGTCTATAAGACTCAAATCTTACAGACACAGACCTCTATACTTTTTACACACCTGCTTTGCAGTTGCATCTTTGAGTTTTCTTGGGTATGTTACAAGATTTGTGTATGTTAGAAATTAATCCAATTCTTTTGTTGGAAGCGCGAGAAGTGATGACAGGAGAGGACTGTTTAAAATCAACACAAAGTTTACTGAAAGTCTGATCACAGGTAGGCCTTACAGCGCTGGGATCAGAGAGATAGAGCTCCCGCAGGAGTTCCATCCACTGACCCCGAATTAAGGTCTTACAATACATTTTATCTTCTTGGGCTGCTCCGCCCTGGACAGAGTCAATAGTTTGTGATCCTATTGGTCATTTGGTGTGAGCCGGAGCTCACACTTCCATGTTGAAATATGGTATATCTAGGTATGTGTGTGTGTGTGTGTGTGTATGTGTGTGTCTGTGTGTCTCTCAGGTGGTGAGCCCCTGGCCTCTGCAGGACATCCCAAGACAAAGCAAAGCTTGGGATGTGCTAAGTGGGTTGAGGTACGAGTGTAAAATAGGCCTTTGCTAAAATGTAAATAGGCTGTCTGGTCACAAAGAGATGCAGACAGCCAGTCTCTACAGAAGTTACAGCATTCAAAGTAAGCAGATTCTGCTTCATTACAGCTGTAAGATATACAAGCAAGGGAAACAAATATATTAAAATAACCAAAGCTCAGTAGTTCTGGACAATCATCAATACAGCTGTAATATGCATAAACAAGTAAGATAAAGTTATGAAAGGTAACTAAAGGTATGAGAAGTAACTAAAGCTTATAAAGTAACTAGAGTCTATAAGACTCAAATCTTACAAGGCCCCGGATTCAGTTCTTTCCATTGTTGTACCCCGTACTTTTTACCATACTGACTCTGAGAGACGAGGCAGTCCAAGTAGCTACAAAACAGTGCTGATTTATTCAAAGGAGCACAGGTAAAATTAACATTACACGCTCAAGTATCTTGCACCTTCATACTGCACGCAGGCAGATGTAAGATGAAAGACCCTGAGCCCACCAGGCCTATACATTATATCACCTCGGTTGGGCTAGCCCCATACTACACAGAAACGTCAACCGAGACGTCTCTGTTGCCAGCTCTGCAGCTGGCCATAACAGTAGTCAAAACATGAAGCAAATCAACGTGTGAATGTGTGTGTCTGTTGGTTAAGTGGTGTGTAGCTAAAAACATTCTCACGACCTCTAGTACATGTCGTGACTTAAACATAAGAACATATTATGGCTAAAGCTACAGTTATACACGTAGTAATAATAATATTAAACACCCTGTCTGCTGACAGTCATCAACTCTTCTCTCTAGTATCCTTGACCAGATGTACCCTGTAGAAACTCATAAGCATGCCTAAGCATTTAACAGTCTAACTAGACATCCTATCTCCACTAAACATTTCTAATACATAAAGTATCTATCCAATATCTATCAGACTAAAAATACCTAACACCATCCTTCCTGGCAGATTCTCTCAAGCTCTGTCAGATTAGATGGGAAGTGCTGTGAAGTGCCAGGTTCTCCCCACCTCTTTACTTTAGCGATGGTATTAGCAGGTGATGAGCAGTGTCTGGTGTTTTCCAGGGATAGTGTTTGGAGTTCTGCCCAAAGAGTTCAGTTTTGTCTCATTAAACCAGTGAACCTTTTTTTTCTAACCCATCTCTGCATATGACATTGGAGGCTCTGATAAAGGGACTGTTGAGTTCTTGGTCACCTCCTGACCATAGGGGGGCAGCTGTGGCTTAGGAGGTAGAGCGGGTCGTTTCTTAACCGGAGGATTAGCGGTTCGATTCCCGACTTGTGCAGTCAACATGTCGAAGTTTCTTGAGCAAGACACTGAACCCCCAGTTGCTCCCACTGATGACACCGGTGTGTGGGTGTGTGAATGTGTGAACATTTGTGAGTGCGAATGGATGAATGGCCAAGTAGTGTAAAAGTGCTTTCAGTGTGCTGTAAATTGTAGAAAAGCGCTATACAAGTATAAGACCATTTACCACAACATAAAGTATGCTTTAACCGTGTATGGAATATGTACAAAAAGTAAAATGCTGTGTAATGTGGTATGTCTACACCATGTCACTTAGTAAGCTGTACCTTGGGAGCATTGTGTGGCTAGTTACTGTATGTGTCTGTGCAGGTTTTTGCAGAGAAGATGGGTTTAGAGACAGGCTGGAACTGTCACATCTCTCTGACTCCAAACGGACACGGTCCCTATGATGGAGCTCCATCCAGCCCTAGTCATGGCTCGCTGCATGAAGACCTGAACCAAGGTACCAAACTTGTTTGTACATTTCATTACATTTGCTAATGGGCAGCAGTTCATGACAGGTTTGATATGGATCAGTATGGAGTCTCAAGACTTCTGTTTCTAGTCTGTGATATCCAGGGCATAAATGCTTTTATTTAGTCTTTTTCAGTCTATCTAGTCCATATGCAGTGCAGACTTTATTCCTAACTATTATGTATAAAATAAAATGTATATTTCAAAAACCCACCTACTGTAAATTGTACATCAGACCTTGTTAACTCCTGCCATTACCCTGTACTACTACTAGGTGGTATCAGTTTTAAATGTACTGTACTTGCATGCACGTGTTAGGTACTTGTATTTTACGTGAGCATTATCATTTGTTATTTTCTTTTTCTCGCCAGTACATTTTAGTAGGAATACTGTACTTTTGCTCCACTAAATTTATTTTATAAATTAGGTTACTGGTTTCTTTGCAGATTTTACATTTACATACACATATGTGTTAACCTTATAAAATATAATGTGATACAGAAGAAATGGTCTAGCAATATATAAATTATAAATTAATAATAATTATATAAATTATAAAGTGTAGGTTTGGGATTCTTTTGTCTTTTTACCAAAGATTTGACAGTAAATTTTCATTGCAGTGATGTTGAGCTATTTGCTCACTGTATTATTACTACTTTCACTTAAATAGAATCTGAATCCTGATCATCCAGTCAACAGAGATAAGTGCTACAAGAACAATCCTCCCCTCTGTTTCTCCTATGTTGTCTTAATAAGACCCTCGAGTCAACTCTGTGTTCCTCAAGTTCACATAAGATTTAGCAAGGTCAGGTTAGTTAAATCCTACCCTCGAGCAGAAGGAAAAGATGAGAAGGATCCTGTGATAGCCTTTTCTGGAATGTGCGGTGTCTGGTCTTCTGAGTTTTAGAGAACAGCTCTAACTTTCGAAAACTCTCTTCATATGTGACCCAGACTCGCGGGATGAAGCAGAAGGTCCACTGCTCCCAGAGGAGGAGGCCCACTCAGACCTAGCCAGTTTTCAGCCCACAGACAGCGATGTGCCCAGCTTCCTGGAAGACTGCAACAGGGTAACAGTACATTTATTAGAATCAGTGAAGCTGTCTGTTTTTCATTCAACTTGGAATGACTTATTCCTCTGTCTTGTGCTAACCAACAGAAGATTGTGGTTTGCTGCAATTTTAACTCTTTCTGACTGGCAGCTCAGTTTCTGTTTTTTTGTCCCTGCTCTTTGCCAGGCCAAGCTACCTCGTGGTATCCACCAGGTTCGTCCTCACTTGAAGAACATTGATAATGTGCCTCTTTTGGTGCCGCTCTTTACTGATTGCACCCCTGACAGTGAGTCTTCTTTGTGTTGTATATACTAAGTTATCTACCCTCTAATTCTGCTTTTTTTGACACTTTTGTCATATTTTTTGATGAAGACGTTTTTACCCCCATTGTCTTCATCTCAATTAAATTTTAAAAAGCACAGATAACAACAAACCAGGCTTATTTCAGGAAAAGAATTGATGATCTGTGTCACTCTGTCCTACATATAGGCAAGTTTATTTGTATAGCACATGCTCATACAAAAACACAATTCAAACATAAAACATTAGAATGTAAACTAAAATAATAAACAAAGGATAAAAGATGTAGGCAGTGTTTGCTTTAGAGAAATGTAGACACTTAAAGTGGTTTGTTCTTCACAGCCATGTGTGAGATGATGAAGATCATGCAGGAGAACAGGGAGGTTACATGCTGTCTGGGAAGCTCCGCCAATTTCCGCAACAGCCGCCTGTTTCTACAGAGTGACCTCAGGTATACACACATCAGTATAGTATGTCCCTAAACATTTTGAAAATGTGTTACCTGATCTGATTTTGATGATTTGACGCTGTGCTGTGGTAAAGCGCTATATAAATAAAGTTGCGTTGAGTTGAGTTGAGATTGTGATGAAAATAGTTGATTTTTCTTTTTTATTACAATTAAACCCTCTAAATTTGGAAGAAGCATTATTTAGACCACAAAAATCTGAACTTTTTATTAAAACTCCTGCTTCTATTCTTGAATACATTTATGGAATTGTTAGGTAATTTCTTAGTTAGATAGATATTGATTAGAGATCTGTTGTATTAGAAAATGTTAGTGTAGCCAGGATGTCTTGCTCAGGCTGTTAAATGCTCAGTTCATTGTCATGAGTTCTGCAGGCTGCATCTAGGTCAAGGTCACTAGATTGAAGAGTCTGCCGGCAGGATGAATATTGCTAGTAGCATGATATGCTCAGCCGTAATCTTAATCATAACATTTTCCGAGGCTTACTGTTCGGACATGTCCCTGAATGTCCTGTATGTTTTTAGATACACACCACTAATCAACAGCCACACACTTTAATTTTCTCCATGTTTTGACTACTGCTCTGGTCAGCTGCCAAGCTGGCATATCAGGTGATGTCACGGTTTGACGTTGCCCGTGTAGGATGGGGCTAGCCCAACCAAGTGATTAAATTGTATAGAGATCTTGGGTTCGGGGTCTTTTCATCTTCCGGGCTGCCTGCGTGCAGTTTTGGGGGTGGAAGATGCCTGGACGTGTAATGTTAATTCTTGCCTGTGACCCTTTGAATAAACCAGCACGGTTATTTTTTTTTTTATATACTCAAGTGGTCCGCTTCGTCTCACTGAGTTCCTGGTTTGAAAGAACCGGACGTGGCTTTATAATAGAATATAGCCTTTAGAATGCAGAGGCAATGGCACATTGCACTCACAAGTTCTGAAAAAATATTTTCTCAGTTACCTCTGCTACTATACAATGGGTACGGAAAGTATTCAGACCCCCTTAAATTTTTCACTCTTTGTTATATTGCAGCCATATGCTAAAATCATTTAAGTTCATTTTTAACTGAAATATCACATGGTCATAAGTATTCAGACCCTTTGCTCAGTATTTAGTAGAAGCACCCTTTTGAGCTAATACAGCCATGAGTCTTTTTGGGAATGATGCAACAAGTTTTTCACACCTGCATTTGGGGATCCTCTGCCATTCCTCCTTGCAGATTCTCTCCAGTTCTGTCAGGTTGGATGGTAAACATTGGTGGACAGCCATTTTCAGGTCTCTCCAGAGATGCTCAATTGGGTTTAAGTCAGGGCTCTGGCTGGGCCATTCAAGAACAGTCACGGAGTTGTTGTGAAGTTGTTGTGCTCATTTAGCTCATTTCCAGCCATTTAATGTTTAATCTCTGGCACCTAGATTAGCTTTGCACCGATCATAACTCCAAATTGTCTAATTATTTCAGAATGATAAAACCAGAGAGCCTCTTCCTAAAAACGAGAGGATAGTTGGATAGGATAGTTGGCACCTCCTGCTGCCAGTGTTGTCAAAAGTAGACAGCACATAGAAACTGCAGCAGCATTAATTAATTTGAATTTCCCCTCCATAGAGAGGTAAACAACGGTATACAGTCTTATGCAAAAGTTTAGGCACCCCTTGATAAATAACAGATTTTGGTGATTTTTTATTTGAACAGATGTTAACACAGTTTCTCTTGGAAATGGAAAAAATGCACAATATTTTCTGCAAACAGTGATGCATAGTTACTTCTTATGCCATAAATTGAACAAAAATAAAAAATAAAAACATGATTATGGCATGGTGCAAAAGTTTGGGCACCCTAAGAGTTCCAGAGTCTCAAAGTCTCTCACAAGGTATCAGACCTTAATCAGCTCGTTAGATCTGATGCACAGCAACAGCTGTCATTGGTAAATGCCAATTTCAAAGCTGTACAAATACTTTGACTCTTCAAACCTTGTGCACACACTTGTGGACACCCAGCAACCATGGGTTCCTCTAAGCAGCTGTGTAAGACCCTGAAAGTGAAAGTTATTGATGCCCACAATGCAGGAGAAGGCTACAAGAAGATAGCAAAGCGTTGTCAGCTTGCAGTTTCCACAGTAAGAAATGTAATTAAGAGATGGCAGATCAGGGGAACTGTGGAGGTCAAGATGAGATCTGGAAGACCAAGAAAACTCTCGGACAGAACTGCTCGTATGCTGGTCAGAAAGACAAATCAAAACCCCCATTTGACTGCAAAAAACCTGCAGGAAGATTTAGCAGACTCAGGAGTGGTGGTGCACCGTTCCACTGTGCAGCGATGCTTGCACAGACAAGGCCTTCATGGAAGAGTCAGCAGAAGAAAACCTTATCTGCGTCCCCATCATAAAATCCAACGTCTGAAGTATGCAACAGGACATCTACAGAAGCCCGATGCGTTTTGGAAACAAGTGCTGTGGACTGATGAAGTTAAAATAGAACTCTTTGGACACAATCAGCAAAGGCATGTTTGGAGAAAAAAAGGAGCAGCATTTCATGAAAAGAACACCTTGCCAACTATTAAGCATGGGGGTGGATCTATCATGCTCTGGGGTTGTGTTGCAGCCAGTGGCACAGGAAACATTGCACGGGTGGAGGGAAGAATGGATTCCACTAAATACCAGCAAATTCTGGAAGCAAACATCACACCATCTGTAAAAAAGCTGAAGCTGAAAAGAGGATGGCTTCTACAACAGGACAATGATCCTAAACATACCTCGAAATCCACTATGGAATACCTCAAGAGACGCAGGCTGAAGGTTTTGGAATGGCCATCACAGTCCCCTGATTTAAACATCATTGAAAATTTGTGGGTAGATCTTAAAAGAGCTGTGCATGCAAGACGACCAAAGAATATTACAGAACTAGAAGCCTTTTGCAAGGAAGAATGGGAGAAGATCCCAAGTACAAGAATTGAAAGACTTTTAGCTGGCTATGAAAAGCGTTTGCAAGCTGTGATATCTGCCAGAGGAGGTGTTACTAAGTACTGATTGTGTAGGGTGCCCAAACTTTTGCACCATGCCATAATAATGTTTTTATTTTTTATTTTTGTTCAATTTATGGCATAAGAAGTAACTATGCATCACTGTTTGCAGAAAATATTGTGCATTTTTTCCATTTCCAAGAGAAACTGTGTTAACATCTGTTCAAATAAAAAATCACCAAAATCTGTTATGTATCAAGGGGTGCCTAAACTTTTGCATAAGACTGTAAACACCAAACGGCAGACAGGCAGTGGACCTTATTCACTAACATGCGCATAGAAATGTTCTTACCTTGTGCACAAAATAAGTGCAGGAGACATTACCATCATATTCATGACACCAGCCAATTTTGTTCTTTCTATTGTGTGTATGTTAGTGTAAATCAGAATCATTCTAAAATGACAGGCGCATTCCAGTGGTTTTCAAGTAGCCTGCTGCCATGCCCCCATTTCTCTATATACTTATAAACTAGAACAGTTTTTTAAATTTAATTTATTTCAATTAAAACTGTGATTAATCAGAATGACAGGGCATTAATTTCATGTTTATTTAATATGCTACATTTGGTCAATGCATTAGTAAATTAATCATTATAGCCTTAAATTATATTAATCAATTATATTAGCTATTAAAACCTTTTTAATTAATATAGTTTCAGTTAAAATGTGTTTGCATTTTTTAGCCAGCCAGGCCTTCATCATTTGTTCATACACATGGGGTGAGGCAGTATTAAATTTGTTCACAGAGTATGAACAAATTAAGGTAAGAAAATATTGATACAGAATATTGAATAAAATTGTGCATAAATTGTTTGTATACACGGTTTCAGCACAGAATTGTGTGTACACACTGTTTGTGGACGAGGCTTGGTGCTAGCAGCTAACTGGTGAACATACTCAAGCAGTTCGTAGATTAAGAATCAGATATTTTGGAGTTGGTGGAGACCAAAAACAGAGCTAAAAGAAAGTACTGTATATATTGGACCTGATGACCAGACACGTGACTCCAAATGGCAATAATGCTCTGTAACTGCTGGGTGTGTAAATAAGCAACTGCTTGCTGACAGGTTCACAAATTCAACTTAAAAGGTGAAGATATGTCAATATTGAGTCCCCAGGCAGTGAAAAAGGCCATTATTGCAGATTTAAAGCTACAGTAATGAGGGCAGCAAAATGAGAAAGGTGATGCTCATATTTTTGAATGAGAATTAGTTTGTCATTGGACTCTGAAGTTCTCCTTACAGCTGGGCTTTTAGCATCCTTCACTGTTTTCATTCTATAGTCCACAACTTTGCTGTTTTGGTTCACTCTGAGCACTGTCATCAGTGATGTTATTGGACACGACACCCTATTTTTAATAAAGAATGGAAAATGGTTTGGAAATCACAGGCACAATTGTTTGTGTTGCAGCAGTCACAGGTAAATTGCCTTTTGTTGCAATAATCACAATGATCACATTGACATGTTGAGGCCCATATGTATTTAGTCTGTTTAGCCAGTTTTTTTTTTATTACATATCAAATAAGACAAAATAAGATGGTACAGTTTTGAATCATTTAAGGTTGTAGTGATATGGTACAGGGGTGTACTGAGTTTTGTTATATACTATATGTTCAGCTGCCTCCAGCTAATGTTCACTGTGCAGCTGTAACTATGAAGAGATTGAAAAGTGCACTTATGCTCTCTAGGCTGCAGGACTTACAGTACAGCACAGCAAATGAACTTAGCTGTAAACCTTTACTGCCATGCCTTCTCTGTGCTTACTTTTGTAGTAAATGTAATTTCAAGTCTTACTACCAATTTCATTATTTCACTCGTAATGAGAGTTGTTTAAATGAAGGACATTTCCATCAGCAGTCCCCAAGCTGAATAAGATGACCAGTAAAAGTTGAACAACTGCAGTGATCCATGCTATGAATTCAAGATGGTTAACACTAATTTAGGATACCTGTGTTTCGGCCTGTTCTTTTGC